TATTGTTGAATAACATCAAGACTTGGCAACATATGGGATATTAATATTTGACAGAATTGCATTAGTGAAATTCAAATGGCTACTAGAATTTTCTCTTATTCTATAAGAAACAAAGAATAAACTAATTTTAAAAATTCCTAAAAATACTGACGAAACTATTTAATATGAAGACTATTTCTCTCGTCACAAACCTAGTAGGATTTTCTAGTGTTTTGTAGAATTTACAGCTATAGAGCAGACTGTCGATGTTTTGCACTGTTTTAGTTAACACATGAATAGTATTCTATTATTAGTATGATGGGTTTTTGCTGCTTCAATTGTATAATCAAGAGTATAGTTATTAATAAATATAGAATAGACGATTTTTTATTACTCTTCTACATAATCTGAGTCGGTGATAGAGATGACAAGTGACTCTGAAAGATTTGATTGAAAACTAAATATTGAGGTTTTTCTAATTGATCGATTGCAGGATTGATTCAACCAAGATTATGCATTATTACTAACTGCAGTTTAGATCAGGGAATTGAGATAGTTTATAATAAGCAAGTTCTAATTTGTATTGTAGCTCTACTTTGAAGCTTTTAAATTTTTCTAAATCAATGTATTTAACATACAGACACAAGAAAATCTAAATGAAACTTCATATGAGACGTAGACACATTTTACTGTTGATAATAAAGAATTGCCTTTTTGTTTCAATATGAACTAAATTGAGATTCTCTTATTCGTTTTGGTCTCTGATAGAATTCACACTAAAGTTGTTTTTATATTGAACTTAAAGAAATTCATGGTTTTCTTTTTTGTGGCATAACATGATCGTAAAAACACAGATTACTAAACTAACTGGTTTGTCATCTGTTTATAGTAGTACGATTCAAATAGTTAATAATTTATCAATGAGTTTTAGATTGTAATTATTGACAAGTACAATATCAATACAATATAACAAAAAGGGGATGAATATTTATTATTTATACGTTCATGAATGTCAATTTTCATTGAGATTCTACGGAATTAATATACTAAATGTTAGAAAATCCGTTTATTAAGAACCCAAGAATAAATTAACATAAATGAGAGTTAGCATAAACTGAATATTAAAAAAACAAGTAAATGATGGTTAAGAGGCTTTATTTTTCAAAATTTGAACGCATAGTTGCAAAATGTAGAGTTTTTCCTAAAGAAAAACAATAGTTTCGATAATAAAAATTTTTACTGTTTAGATGTTTTTTTAAAATGAAGTCTAGACTATCTTCGATTCTTTTATATCTTAAAAGTTTTAATTTATCATGTTTATTTGAATACAATCATATTTTAGAAATATAGTTTAAAATTCATTAGTCTTCTCATTGTTCTATCAACATATCTTTCGTTTATCATGTCAATTAATTATTGTATTTATTAAATTTTACTACAATTGTTTTTATTTGCTTTTCGTTTATATTATTTCAAAAATAAATATTACTAAAATAGAAACAATAAAAAAAATTTATGCAAATTCAAAACAGTTAACTATACTTATTAAAAGTTTTACTTCATCGATCACAAAATTCAGTTTGAGTATATCGAAGTCTTCTATTGTTTGTATATTTGGAATTTTTACAGTTGAATAATGTATAATATTAAATTCATACGACAAACAATTGCAAACATTAAAACATTTCTCACATTATAAAATAGTCGTATATTTGTCGGCGTTAAGTATCGAAAAAAATATACTATTTTAATCCATTAGTGATATTTACATATCTATTTGTATGAGTTTATTTGCCTAAGACCAATAAATCGTGTTTTTTTTGTGGTACACATCAGACACATAAAGAGTAATAGATACAAAAGTCATTGGGCAGTCTTTATTTACAGAGTATATTTGATAGAAACTTGACTGAGAACTGCGGCTTTCACCTTGTCGCAGAATTTGTGTCATTACATGACTCTATATATGATTTAATAATGCCCGTTCATAATCGAATTGTAGATCAACGGGCTTCATAAAAATATTCATAGCTCCATGGAAATGATACAGAAATTTACTTCGAAGAAATGTGTTAGATTCACATTCTAATTAGAAATTTTTATCGTAATTCGTTGAAGAGTTATAGATGAAAAAGGGTGTGAATTGTGAGCATGAAAGTTTGGCACATTTCCTAGAATTTAACTTCTATATCATTTTCATCGAACTGTTAGTATTTTTGTGAAAGGTAACTGACTCATAATTCGATCATCATCCGGCATTGTTGAATCATACGTGAAGTCCTGCAATGACATAACCGCAGCTCTTTATCTTGTTCCAATGAAAAGTTATTCGTAATCACATATTGCCGGATTAACTTTTCTACCATGCTGTATTTTACACTTGCTAAATTTTTATTCAACTAGAACATAAATAGGATAATTTAAAAATTTATTTCCTACAATCAAAAGAAATTCTATTTTCATTATTTATAATCATTTTATTGATTAAGTGTAGTAAAATCAAAAGGATCAAGTTCATTAAGAATAAATCATGTTTTTGAACTTGCATCAACGATAGTATGTCCAATGACATTAATCGCTTGATCTTTTATTTTTTTTGCCATATCGCTACATAAGTTAAAAATTGACATTGAACTATTCGTTGATATAATTATATCATCGTAAATATCCATTGTTGGTCTTTCATCATTCATTGATTCGATTTCTGACTTATTGTATAAAATTTTCTTAGCCATGAATAATGATTTTTTATCTGAAAAAAAAAGAACAATGTATGATCT